ACGGTAATGCCTGGTCTTTGTGGAGGTGACTTGCCTGCATTCTCGTCATCTAAAAGCACAATGCATGCTCCTATTGTTGGTGAATTGGCTGCTTTGGAAAAGATAGCATTTGGTCATTCTTGAGTGAACGCTGTCTTTGATGTATCTTTTTCATCTGAGGTGTGAATGATTTCTACTGGAGCTGTTGTTGATTCATCAGAGTCTGTGAGTATAATTGTACTTCTCACAGATTTCTAGTCTAACAACGAGTCCAACAAAAGGTTTGTCACCTCCGCTTCATCCCCAGCTGGGGTGTTGTAATTGCTTGCAAAGAGTTCTGTGATGACTGGCTTTTTACAGCAATCATGGCCCTCTCAACCACAATCTTTTCACATATACAACACTTTAAATTTTACTTAAAATTTACATAATTTTTCCCTAACACTTCTCAAGGAAAAATTGCTGACCATGACCATCTACTGGACTTCACACATTGTTTTCGGAAATTTCTTTACATTTTTCTCCCTGTTCTCCCTCATTACATATTTCACATGTGATGTCATTGCGTAACTCATCATTCTTTTACTTTACATTAAAAGATTCAAACAAAATTGGATTGGTGAGAAAATCAGATTTTGGACACTTTTACCTGATTTGTGAACATAGCCCTTGACTCACTTTGTAAGTGCCTTAAGCACATCAATAACAGGACAGGACAAACTGTGCAGTTAAATAAAACTAAAACCTAGATTATTTTATTCGGGAATAGCAGACCGAATAGCTGCCTATCTGGATTCGAGAGCCCTATAATCTAAAAAAGTGGCACATAACCTAGGTGTACTAATGGACTCTGATCTCTGTTTTTGCAGTTATGTCAAAGCAGTTACTAAATTGTACTAAACTACACCCCCTGATGGTCCACATTTTTGCTCTATCGCTATTGTTGCAACTATCTGGGGGTCCCAGAGAACCACTGCTTTAAATAGATAATTTTAAGGTGGTCTGAGGTCTTTGAAGTGAAGCTAGACCCAGAGGCATTGATTATTGTGTTAGGAGAATCAAATTGACTGCAGAGTTAATTACTTAGCAAGTACAGCTTAACAAGTCTTTGTATCTTGTAGAATAATTGAAGCCACAAAGCTGAATTTTGTCTTGGAAGAAGATACATATGCTCTCTGTTAAACAATGACTTAGGGTGCCTACACACTGGACAATGCAAGGACAGAGTGGTAGACGCATACGCATACGCATGCGCATCTTGTCCGTCAAAGAAATACAGGCCAGCGAAAGAAAATTTAGGCGATGGCCATACACAGAGCCAAGCAGACAACAGCCACAAAGGCAAAGAAGTCGTATAGAACAGAAAAAGATTATACAGCATATTCAATGTCTTCTACCCGCACATTTCTATTGGGTGACGTGCCTCCACGTCAGAATCTGTTGCAGCAAAAGGCGAAATGGTTTGGATGCGTCTTCTCACTGCAAACAGGCACGTTTGTAGTCCAACAGAGCTGACGCAGCGTCCTAACTGAAATACATTGGGTCACTGCGTTTTGTGACACTGTGTCAGCTTCTTATGTGTAGGCATCCTTACAGGCTGCACTGACACACTACATTTGGAGATCAAATTTCAGACAGATCTTAAAAGATAGGCAAAGTAAGTTTTACTCCCCTTTATTTTTTTCTAGATAAAGAGATATAAACCTTTTACAAATATGCATGATTTGTAATCAACATAAGGTAGACCTGCTTTTGTGGTCCTGTGGATGCAGTTGGGGATTGTTAGAACTGAAATGTGCTCTGTTTACTTCATAACGTAAACGTCCCACTGAGTGTTTCTGTAGGAATCACTTTCCATGGATCTGCAGAACAAAACCAGCTATTGGGACAGTACATGGTCTGAGAAAAACAATGCTACAAGTCTGCTTTGATAGTATAGACTGGAATTAGTTTGCAGAGGGAACAGACCTGGAGAAATATGCTACTTCAGTCTTGGGCTACATAAACTTCTGCACGGAAGAGGTGTTATCACAAAGGACAGTAAGGGTGTTTCCTAACCAAAACTATGGATAAATGGCAAGGTGAGGACACTACTCGAGGAGTGAGATGCGGCATTCAGATCAGGTGACAAACAAACCTACAGTGAAGCATGGGGAAGCTCAAGAGAGGCATCAGGGATGAAAAGCGCAGATATAAAAACAGACATAGACAAAATCACTTCAACAACAACCCATGTAGCATATGGGACAGCATCAAGGCAGTTACTGACTACAACACCACATGCTGCTCAGTGATGATGCCACACTGCCTGATGTCCTGAACCTGTTCTGTGCCCCACTCCACCTGCCAGAAGGCCGATACTGGTTCTACAGCACCACCAGGTGAAGACCACACTGGTGAAGGTCAGTGCTAGCAAAGCAGCAGGTCCAGATGGAGTGCCCAGCCAAATACTGAAACCATGTACCAACCAGCTAACAGATGTGTTCAGTTACATATTCAATCTATTGCTACAAAAAGCTGTTGTTCCAACGTGTCTTAAATTTTGCATCATGCCAGTGCCAAAGAAATCAGCTGTGGAGTGCCTAAATGACTATTAATGGTGGCTCTAACGCCTATATTCATGAAATGCTTTTAAAACTGGCATCCCACCTGCTCTGGATAAGCACCAGTTTGCCTGCTGGCCAAATTGTTTCATAGAGGGTGCCATGAAAAAAGTGCTACACACCACTATGACACACTTAGAAGAACTAGACAGTTATGTGAGAATGTTATTTGTGGACTTCAGCTCCACATTTAACTCGATCATCCCCCACAAACTGTCCAGAAAACTGGTGAAACTGAGTTGTCATGGTTCTTCTATGTGCTCATGGCTCATGAACTTCCTCATGGGCCGACCACAGCAGGTCAAAATTGGAAGCCACACATCCTTATTCTAAACACAGGAACCCCACCGGGCTGTGTGCTGAGCCTTATGCTTTTCACACTCTTCCCTCATGACTGCACTCTGACTCACACCTTCAACTCCATGAATAAATTCACCAATGACACTACAACAATTGGACTGATTTCAGACAATGAGAAGACTGCCTACAGGAATGAGATGGAACATCTGGCCGAGTAGTGTAGGGACAACAACTTGATCCGTAACACTTTGAAGACAAAGGAGTTCATCATAGACTTCAGGAAAACAGAGAACAGAGGCCACCTCCTCCTCCATATACATACAAGGGTGGAAAACCTGAAGTTCCTTTTAGTCTGTGTGTTGAAACAGATGATATGGACCTCACACCAGGTAATAAAAGCCCTACAAAGAATATTCTTCCTCAGGAAGCTGGAACAGGCATCGCTCCCACAGCGGTGAATTTCTACAGAAGCACCACTTAAAGCATCCTAACCAACTACATCACATTGTGCTGTGCCAGCTACATGTTTGCTGAGCTCAAGGATCTGCATTGTGTGGTGAAGGCGGCACAGTGCATTGTTGCATCAGGGCTCCGAGACATATTATGACGCCACTAGCCGACTGAGGAAGAAGGCTAGCAGTATCATCAAAGACATTGCACACCCTGGTCAGTCCCTGTTGGAACCTCTGCCATCAAGCAAACGGTTCAGGACAGTAAGATCCCACCAAATAGACAGAGGAACAGCTTCTTTCCCAGAGCTGTGGCCTTAATCATACCCCTCCCTGTCTAGCTAAACAGCTGAAAACAAGGACTTTAAGCATGCGCACACACACATATTGTGGACTGTTGCGCGTGCACGCTCACACGCTCACACGCTCACACGCACACACAAAAGGGACTGTGACATATACATGCACAGTCTCCTTCCTTTTCAGTGACTGTTACCACAGATGCTACTCAGAAAGACATCTACTTATTCATTCATATTTATTAATATTTGTAATACCCAATCCACTGTAAACATGTAAATGTAGTTATACATTCAGATTTAAATTTGATTTTGTAGTTTGCACATCACTTTAACAGTATGCTGCTATTTCTGCCATTTTTATTATTGCTGCCTTAGTGACCTCTATAGGAGAGATGTCACATGAAATTTCACTGTACCTGAGAATAATGACAACGATTCTATTCTGTTCTTTGTTGCTTTGTCACACATTGTAGTTTTTTATTTACTGAAAAGTGGCCAGCGTACCTTTGGTTAGGTTTTTCTTTGTGTTTATTTGGGAGAGGAGGATGCTTACTCAAGCTTTTCAGCTCTTCAGTCACTGCTGCTGCTGCTTGTCCCTCTCTCTCGCTCTGTTCCCTCTCAGCTCTTTAAAAAGGGACCCGAGCTGAGAGGGAACGAGAGCTCGCTGCTCCGCCTCCACGTCACCGCCCCCAGCTTGCAGCTCAGCCGCCCGGGTCGAACCTAAGGGATCGTGAAACGGCCTCGCTGCGGAACAGTGGGCGGGGTGCGGGACTCGTTCCTTGCCCTCGTGCCTCTTGTTGCCAGCACTGTCGTCGTCCTCCTCCTCTCGCCGTCACTCAGAGCTCAGGCTTTGCACTCCGTCCCCCACCCACTCGCGGCTCTCTCCCCACCGGGGTTCATCGCTGCTCAATGTTCGGGCCCCGCCTTCCTGCCGGCTCTCGCAGCCGTCCTCGTCGGGGCCTTTGTAGTATTTTCCTTTAAAAATATGGTTTGCATATCATTGCATTCTGTTTTTATTTACATTCTGCACAGAATCCCAACTGTATTGGAATTGGGGTTGTAATTTTTAAAGAAAGTGATTGGCAAGAAAAAAAAAGAAGTACTTTGAAGGTCTAAATGAAATTACTAAAACAGAATTTCTACATTAACTACCAGATACAATGAAGTATGTTTTTTTTTTTTTTCTCTTTGTAAATGTGATTGAGTGCTGTGATGTTCATTTTTAATAATTTGACTGAAGATCTTCCAAAATAATACTTTATTAACACAGTATGATTGCTAATTTAAAAAAAATCTGTACAGTTTTGAATTCTTTATTGAAATTTTATGTGTAGTAAAAATGTCACGTTGTTAAATTCTCATTACAGCCCTTGGAACGGACAGATTGCTAGAGTGCCATCAGGGAGACAGGAGACTCTCACCTCAATGGAGGCAAGTTCTAAAGGTAAGCTAACACTCACTAATGTTACGTTCACATTACAAGCCTCATTGCTCAAATCAGATTTTTTGCCCAAATCCAATCTCTCTGAAATGATGGTTCAAGTGATTTAAGTCTGTCATTAATGTGAATGACCTGCATGCGCACATCCTACTTAGGAATGTCAAGTGAATGAATCACGTGCGTCACGTTCATCATCAGCAAACAAGCTACTGAGCAGAACGAGCCTTCACTGCGAAGATAATTAACTCTGATCAGCTCTCAGCTGTTCATTATTAGAGCGAGAGGAAGGCAAAAAAGGTGAGGTGTTGCTTTTCCGCCGTTTACAGGCTTTAACGTCTGTTGGAGTTGCTGCCATGGTAATGCTGAATGATGGCGCATGCGCAGTGGAAAAAAAGCACACAAATTCCACTCTGAGCATTCACATTAAGTTCTCATGGCCTCAAATTGGATAAGTATCCAATCTAGGACCACATATGAGAGTGGTCGGATTTGAAAATATCAGATTTGCATGTCCACACAGCCTTGAAAACATCAGATCTGAGTCAAATTAGGGCAAAAATGTGTATTTGTGCCACTTCAGCCTGGTAATGCGAACGTAGCCTAAGAATTTTTTTTAAGCCATGAGACCAAATTAGCACTCTTTGTATGGTCATTCTGTAGAGTTAGTTAGTATGTATAAATTCATAAATTGTGTTGCAGATGTCCAACAGCAAGAAAAGGCTCTCTCTAATGTAAATGTAGTTGGTCAGAGTGTAATTTACTCTAATGGGCCAACAGATGAAGAGAGGTCCAGAGAAACAGTGTTGTCTCCTCATGTTAGACCTGCAGGTCGGGATCCTGTCCGTGCTCTAAGACCTACGAAAGGTGAGATAACTCTGAAGCTCTTACTGAAATTGAGTTTGAGAGATGCAGAATTTTTTTTCCTTTCTTAACATGCCTGCCCCCACTTCACTTCTGTCTCTCAGGATCTCAGATACACAGCATCAGGTCTTCCCCTGCTGGTGACATGTCTGAAGGAGTAGCTGGCCGAGGTCACTGTAATCTCTCTGCTTTTTCTGATTTTGTATAAAGTCACAGGTCAAATGAGATTTTTGTAGTTGGTAACATGTATATCATCTGCTTTGAGAACTGTTCACTTTAAAACTATTTTTTATGAGTTATGAGTTTTATTGTTTTATGAGTATGTTTTATTAATCAAAGTGAAGGCAAGACAACTTATACAACCCCATTTCCAAAAAAGTTGGGACACTGTGCAAAATGTAAATGAAAACAAAAATACAATTGATATGTAAATCATTTAAACCCTAGATTTATTTGAAAATAGTACAACTTGTTAAATTTAAAAAATAAGACAACTTATTGTCTTAAAAATAAGACAACTTATTAAATTTTAAAACTGAGAATAATATATGCCCATTTTGAATTTGATGGCAGCAACACGTTCAAAAAAAGTTGGGATAGGGGCTTGTTTACCACTCTTGCATCACCTCTTCTTTTAAAAACACTCTAAGCGTTTGGGAACTGAGGAGACCAACTGCTGTAGTTCTGAAAGTGATATGTTTTCCCAATTCATGCTCTATATAGGATTTCAGCTGCTCAACAGTTCGGGGTCTCTTTTGTCGTATTTCTTGTTTCATAAAGTGCCATGTTTTCAGTGGGTGACAGGTCTGAACTGCAGGCAAGCCAGTTTAGCACCCTAACTTTTTTACTATAGAGCCATGCTATAGTAATATGTGTAGAATGTGGTTTCATATCGTCTTGCTGAAATAAACAAGGCCTTTCCTGAAAAAGACGTCATCTGAACACGTTGCCAAAGCCTGTAAATATCATTGAGCATTAATGGTGCCTTCACAGACGTGCCAGTCACCCATGCCGTGTGCACTAATTTACTTCTATCACAGATGCTGGCTTTTGAACTGTGTGCTGCTAACAAGCCTGATGGTCTTTAGCCTGGAGGGTGCAGTGTCCATGATTTCCAAAAGGAATTTCAAGTTTTGTTTCGACACTTTTTCACTTCGCCTCAGTCCACCTCAAATGAGCTCAGGCCCAGAGAGGGTGGCAGCATTTCTGGGTCCTGTTTGCATATGATTTCTTCTTTGCATAGAAGAGTTTTAACTTGCATTTAAGGATGCAGTGATAAACTGTTTTCACAAACCGTGGTTTTCAGAAGTGTTCCTGAGCCCATACCGTGATTTCCACTACAGAATCACGTCTGTTTTTAATGCAGTGCCACCTGAGGACCCAAAGATCTTGGCTAGCCAATACTGGTTTTTGGCCTTTTCCCTTGCATACAGAGATTCCTCTAGATTCTCTGAATCTTTTAAAGATATTATGAACTCTAGGTAATGAAAAGCAAAAGGTCTTTGCTATTTTACATTGAGAAACAATATTCTTAAATTAGTGCACTGTTTGCCCACACAGTCTCTCACAGAGTGCTGATACCCTCGTCATTTTTACTTCTGAAAGCCTCTCTGGGATGCTCTTTCTACCCAGTGATGTTGCTGACCTGTTGCCTGTGGACCTTCAGATCTTTTTCTTTTAGCATTACACAACTTTACCAGTCTTTTGTTGTCCCATCCCAACTTTATTGGAACGTGTTGCTACCATCAAATTAAAAAAGGGCATACATTTTTTCAAAATACAATAAAATGTCTTAGTTTCAACACTTTGATATGTTGTCTTTGTACTATTTTCAATGGTTTAAATGATTTACACCTCATCGCATTTTGTTTTTATTTACGTTTTGCACAGTGTCCCAACTTTTTTGGAAATGGGGTTGTATAAGTTGTCTTGCCTTCACTTTGATTAATGTGTTCTTTTGTAGGTGAAATAACCTGAGGGTAATGTAACTTTACCTCAAACCTTTTTCACTCCATCTCAGGTGTATTTGGTTCCCTTGTCCTTGCCTCCCACCCCAGTGTGGCAACAGGTCATGGGCAGGAGGACTCTCTAAGCAAAGTCCCTTGGGATCCACCGGTTGGAGTATACGGCAGTGCTGTTTCTGCCAGCCATGCTGATTCAGACATAAACCTTGAGCCAGAGGAGATAGTGGTGAGACATCTTTGTTTGCTTTATTGCCCAGTCAAGCAATGTTTCACTCATTAAGTGCCTTCAGTCTCATCTTTATTCTAGCTCTCATTACTTTAACATTGATTTATTTACTTTGTAATGGAGTGAATCTAATGTGATTTAGTGCCAGCTTAAAGGTCCAGCACAGTCTTGTCCTATTATTCTCAAAATATTAACCTAGTAGCAACTCCACAGTTGTCTACATGCTTCAGTTTCAGAACAACATATGTTGTGCGTTCCATTCTGGAGGCAGCTGCCTAACTAGTCACTGTCTTCAAAGGCACCTCTCTCTTTGGGGAGCATTTTAACTGAAAAGGAACCTTAGCAGGCATCGCATTCCGGGCAGTGCTTCAGAGCCATCATACATCATAACTTTCACTGCGCTGTACATGTTTTATCTGTTTACTTGCAGTCGCTGGTTAGCTTACACTCACCTCTGGTCACCTCAGTGTATAAGGATGGCTCTCACATTTGCAGCAGCTGTTTTCCTTACATTGACACCTGTTGTGGAAATTTGTGTATGAAGTACAGGCTGCTTTAAGGCATCTTAATACTTACTTAAATAAGTATTTTTCATCTTTCAGGGAGAATGTCAGTCTGTAGTGCTGGTTCCACACATAGGCTGGCCATGTGAGCTGTTTCCAGCCATTTAGCGCAGTTTTCTTCCCGTAACAGCTTCTCTTTCTCAGCTCCTCAGCCAGCGCTTTTCCACTTCTGAAAAAAAATCTAATCGATAATTATTTACATACAAAAAGTGCTACACAAGCAGCCAATATTTTAAACTGGACTTTCTCTCATTTTGAAGAGCCAGCACGTTTACACAGCTAGCCCACAGCCTGCCAGGGTGCCTGCCAGGGCACGTTAGACAAGCAAACTGCCTAAATTTTTCAATAGAAAGCATTTCTAGAGATCTACAAACACAAATATGTTAAAATCTTCACACAAATACACCAATCAATCAAAACAGTAAAGACAGAAGTCAATAATAAATACAGAAGAAATAATTTACATTTGTAAACTCCTCTGTTGGCAGAAAAGCCCATTCTGTCCGCCATGTTTATTTACCTGAAGCGACGGAACTCTCGGCTGGTGAACAAGCAAACAGTATTGTGGGATTGCCTTTGCTGAGACAGATGCATGTGATGCTACCTTCAGATTTGGTCAAAATAAGGCACCTTTGCAGGCACCTGACTTCTGCTGCTTTCTGAATGGGACAGCCTTTGTCTCAGGACCGCACAAATGCTGCCTTAAAATGGATCCTTCTTAGACAGCTGCCTCCCAATTGAAACACACTGATGTTGTGCTCTGAAGAGGGCAAAAAATAACTTGAAGTTGTAGTGGGCCGTATACCGGTTTATCTGGGGAAGGGGCAATTTGTGCCCATTCAGTAAAAAGAGGAAGGTTAGGCATGGATGTTGGATGAGAAGTCCTGGCTCGCAAGCGATGTTACAGTTCAACCCAGAAGTGTTCACTGAGGTTGAGGTTTGGGCTCTGTGCAGGCCACTGAAATTCCTCCACACCAAACGTGTCTATATATATTTATGGACCTTGCTTTGTGCACTGTGATCTTAGACTTGTGTACAGCTGGTTTACCATGGAAACCCATTGCATGAAGCTTCTGATGCACAGTTCTTGTGCTGTTGTTGCCTCCAGAGGTTCCAGTGTTTGGAACTGGGTAGTGAGTGATGCAACAGAGGAGTTACACACTACAACCCCCACCCCCTGCATTTGCGTGCTCTATACCACTTCAGGGCTGAGCTGTTGTTGCTCCTAGACACTTCCATTTCACAAAAATAACACAGTTGACTGAGGCAGTTATAGCAGGGCAGAAATTTCACTAACTGACTTATGGCAAAAGAAGCATCCTATGACAGTGGCACATGTATAGTCACTGAGCTCTTCAGTACAACCCATTCTGCTGCCAATATTTGTCTATGGAGTTTGCATGGCCGTGTACTTTTTTATACACTTGTCATTTCAGCTATATACAAGTACACAGTGAAACAAAACAACATTCCTCCAGGACCATGGTGCAACACAGGAACACGTGCAAAACAATACAATATGCACAGTGCAGACAATACAGTACAATAAATACATAAGACTTACAATAATTTTTACTTGTAAGTTTGGGTTAGGGTGATGTTGTTTTCACTGTGTGGCATATGTGAAGCTTAGAACTGCACCATTAAGTGTGATGCAGAAGCTAGCAGTCAAAAGGAATGTGCAATACACTGGGGTTTATGCTCACAGAGCGCATTGAAAAAAGTTGACAGAAAAAAAGGCTCTTTTAGGAAAACATTTTGAAAGGTGATTGAATTATGTAGTTTGCTAAAATGTTACTTTTGTAATTGAATAAAAAAAAAACAGAAATGTGCTGGGTTGTTAAGTAATTTTCTTATTGATTAAGGCCATTGGCTGAATGAATATGAATGAATATGAATATTAATTTACATATTATCTACAGTACTGTGTTGTGTTTTTTTTTTTGCCAGCTAGAGTTTCTAATTGTTTGTCTCACATGTAGATGTTAAGCAGCATTTTAAGTTTGTAAATTTACAGGAAAGAGTAAAGATGTCCAGGTTTACAAGAGAAAAGATGCATCAGCGTTGTTTAGAGCAACAAGAAGCCCACCCCACGCAGAGTGAGCGACAGCGCATGGAACGAATGAGGCAGCATCTTAGACACACAGTGTCTGAAGTGGGCTCTGATGAATCAGCACCTCTGAAAGGTTACAGTTTAACTAAGCAGTTATCCTGCTTTCCATGTCAAGCAGGGCTCACACAGATGGTATCATTATTACCTCTTTACCTACTTCTCTTAGATTTTCAGCTGAACGGTACTGTTGTAGCCTCAACTAAGACAGAAACACCTGCAGATGATTTGGCTTCAAGCCCTACTGGTCTGCAGAAATCGCAAAGTCCAGTTAAATGTTTCAGTCCACACCATCAGCCCAGTCCCCCTACAGCCCTCCCCACTAGACGCATGCAGCCACGTCGGAGAAGAGCTACCAGTCTAAATAGAACACATCCATCTGTCTCTAATAGCTCTGGTAAGTGATGTTGTCCAGCCCCTTATGTGTAGTGACTTACAGTTGTGAGTATTTGTTTTTACTTTGAGAACTAAAATATGTCCTGCTATATGGAATGATGGTTTCCATCCTGTTCAGCAGCTTTTTCTACGTATCTTGTATATGTTGGTAAATTTTGATAAGACGTTGCCAGCTTCCTAAATAAACGCATTCACAGCCAATCCAAACCGATGTTTTTGATCTAGAGGAGGGTATCCAATCATATCTGCAAAGGGCTGCAGGTCTTCATTCCAAACAAACAGGTGCACACCTGATTCCACTTGTTTAATCAGTTTAACAATTGAGCATGTGTGCCTCTGCTTTATTGGAAGGAAAACCTACTGCCACACTGGCCCTTTGCAGCTAAGATTGGACACCCTTGATCTAGACTAATATACGGATAATACTTTTTAAATATATATTATTATGAAGACTGTTTTGTCACCTCTACCTCAACTATAATTGGACTTCAAGCTTGCACATGTGATAGTAAGTTTAGGAAAGGAAACCATCAATTCCTTTTGTTTATGACCACATCTTGATAGAAGACACATTTTTATTTCTTTCCTTAGATGAATTCACACCAGGTACCCCCAAGAAAGATCCTCCTGAGCAGAATGAGCTGCGTCCTTTCTCTAAACCAGACTTTGCCCTTACTCAGAGCTTCAGACTGCTTAACTCAGAAGACTGGTGAGTTTGCCACCGGCAGAATTATGACCCATGAAGCACGTGAATGATACATGAATGATCTCCTTTATAACATATGCCTGTTTTCTAGACACCACACGATTTGATTCATTTGGGATTGAGGGTGCTAAGATTCCAATATATGCATTTTAGCCTCTAATCCTCAAACCCTTCAGTCTACCATTCGCGCCTGAGATTAATCACTGATGACAATTATAACATTTATTGTTGTGAAGCATTACTGAAGTAAACGTAGTCCACTGTTTATATTTCTAAATTAAAGTGCAAACGTATTTCCTTTAAATATACTTAATTATCGTCTAGTGAGCCAGTAATGGAGTAGTTTGTGTGTTTGGCGTGCTCTGCTAAAATTCGATATAAAATTATACATTCGGCACCTTTTGGCTCAGCAAAACGTATAGGATATATTCCTAAATTTATTATTTTTCATTTTTCATTCGTCTCCTTTGATATTGACGCGTACATGGCCAAGAATTTGCGTCAACACACGTACACGGGGAAGAGCAACGCTAACAGGCCGAGCGACTCGCTGCCGTCAGCTAAGCAATCCGACATGGCAGACACGAAAGCCGAGATTCTTTCCGCTCTAAAAGCGGACATTTCCACACTTCTCAGGTCAGAGCTACAGTCTTCTCTTGCTGCCGAATTCGATGGTGTGAATGCCGAACTGCAAGTAGTAAAGACAGTTGTTTCGCTCTGACTTGGATGTGATGAAGGGGACTGTAACAGAAATGGAACGCAGGCTTTCTGCGTGCTCAGACGAGGTGACATCTCTCCAAGCCTCTGTACGCAAGCTCGAGGCGGAGGTGGCTAATCTGCAGGAAAAAACCGCTGTCTCAAAGCTGCTAAAAGAAGCTCTGCACATGGATAAAGAGGTGTTGGTTGATAGGTCACACCGACGTCTTCAACCGCAGCGGCCTGGCGGGAAGCCGCTGGCTATCGTGGCTAAACTGCACTACTACCAAGATTGCATCGAAATTCTTCGCCGTGCCAGAGAAGCAGGACCCTTGCAATTCAGAGGAGCTACAATCCTCATTTTCCCGGACTATCCCCCCCACTTTCAATGATGTTAAGAAACTACTCCGGGGACAAGATGGCATTCGCTATGGCATTCTCCATCCAGCCAGGCTCCACGTCACGCACAACGGAATAGAAAAGGACTTTCGGGATCCAGAGCAGGCAATGGCTTGTGTGAAGGCGAATGTTCTGTAAGGTGGATGAACACAACAGGTTTGGTGTAGGGTTGCTTCACTAGAGAGACAGATTTATTATAATATTTCTTAGAATAGTCGTGATGTAAAAGAAGCACAGCTAGAGCCGATTTACCTTCTAAGAACCTTCAGTTGTGTTATCAAGAAAGAACAAATGTTTACAATTTAGATTGCTTACTTTATTGTATGTACTCTGCCCCGGTGTCTACATTGGACAATTAATAGCTTTTTTGTTTTTTGTATCCAAGTTTTGCTAAAGGTGCAGCTCAATTTAATATGTATAGCAGAGCAGCCTGTTCGTCTAGGCCTCACCAGTACAAGCACTTAATGTGTGGATATTTTCTTATGGGGTCGTTGGGTCACCCTGTTCTTTTAGGTGACAAAGGTTGGGTTTTTGCTGCACCAGAAGTTAATTTTGTTTTTTTTTGTTTTTTGTTTAATCTATGTCCTATGTCAAGGTACTTAACTGTATTCTAATATCTTTTATTACTTTAAATTGCAAAAGCATGGCCGCTTAATCTGTCTGCAGGTTGTCAGGTAACGTTTGCAAGTTGGAATGTTAAGTCTCTGAATCATTCAGTTAAACGTAGCAAAGTGCTTTCACATCTGAAGCTACTTAAGGTGGGAATCGCCTTCCTTCAGGAAACTCACTTGCGTACATTTGATCATTTTAGATTGAGAGGAGGCTGGATAGGCCAATCATTTCACTCTAACTTTCACTCTAAATCTAGAGGAACTGCAATTCTTATTAACAAGAATATTCCTTTCATTATGCCACAGGTTGATGCAGACTCTGCAGGTCAGTATGTCATAGTTACAGGTAGATTATACAATATGCCAGTCATTCCAGCCAATGTGTATGCGCCAAATTGGGATGACTGCACATTTTTTACTAATTTCCTTTCCCGTCTACCAAACATAGATTCATACCATCTTATCTGGGGAGGAGATATAAACTGTGTACTATCACCATCTCTAGATCGTAGTTCATCTAACACCATGACTCAAACTAAATCAGCTCATACAATAAATTATTTCTTGACACATATGGAATATCTGATGTTTGGTGATTTTGGAACCCTTTATCTAGGAGCTACTCTGTTCTTTCCCCACAGGTTCACAAGACATACTCACATATGGACTATTTTTTTCTTAGACAGGAAACTTCTTCCTTTAGTAAGTGACTGAATATCACGCAGTAGTAATTTCTGATCATGCCCCATTGCTCATGACCCTATGTTGCCCCTACCAACTAAACGTGATAACTACCACCCCTGGCGTCTGAACACACTACTGCTCTCGGATGAGACCTTTGTTATCTTTGTGTCAAATGAAATAGCCACCTTTCTACGATACAATAACGCCTGGAATGTCCGCGTCAGTCATATGGGAATCAATGAAGGCACATTTAAGAGGGCAAATTATATTGTACAGTGCTCAGATGAGGAAAGCTCGGATGCAGCGTCTTGAGAATCTAACAAATGACAGCTTAAAAGTAGATAGCTGGGTCACCATCGCCTCAACTATATAAACAAAGATTAACATTTCAAACAGAATACAATCTTTTACTTACTAAACATATCGAAACTCTCATGAATAAGACACAGCATAGGACTTATGAGCATGGTGATAAGACTGGTAAGATTTTGGCGTATCAGTTACGGCAGAAGACTGTTGATCGATGTATATCTCAAATAAATGATGATTTAGGTGTTAAACATACGGAATATTTACAGATTAATCAATGTTTTCATAAGTTCTACTCTAAACTATATAATTCAGAGTCACGTAAGAACGAGTCTTTGTTTGAGGATTTTTTCAATAAGTTAAATATCTCACTTATAGATATGACGGCTGCAGCGGAACTCGATAACATTTACTACTGAAGAGTTTATCTCCGCAGTGAAATCAATGCAAAACGGAAAGGCCCCAGGACCAGATGGGTTTCCGAGTGAATTTTTTAAGAAAAGGATCTAGCCCCTGTCTTGATTTCTGTGTTCGAAAAATAATTTATTTCTGGCTCTTTACCTCCAACTATGTGTCAAGCAGTCATATCTCTCATTCCTAAAAAAGATAAAAATCCTTTAGAGTGTGGCTCTTACCACCCCATTTCACTCTTAAATGTGGATAGCAAGATACTTGCTAAGATGTTGGCTGGCAGACTAGAGACAGTTTTACCCTCCATAATATCTGATGATCAAACAGGATTTATTAAAATGGTGCTCCTTTTTTAACATACGTCGGCTTCTCAATATCCTCTACGATCCCACTCCATCCGATATTCCGGAGATAGTAATATCACTTAATACAGAGAAAGCATTTGATCGGGTGGAGTGGGATTATCTTTTTTATACATTAAAACGATACGGATTTGGCCCAAAATTCATTAGTTGGATCAAAGTTCTCTACTCTACTCATTTCCTTAAGCAGCAGTCTGTATGAATAATAATCTGTCCCCTTTTTTTTCATAACATCGTGGAACTAGACAGTGCTGCCCCTTATCACCACTTTATTTGCCATAATGATTGAACCACTAGCAACAGCGTTGCGTGATGAGACCTCTATTATGGGTATACAGAGGGGGAGCTCTTTATACACTGACAACATGCTCCTATATTTAACTGATCCCCTTGTTAGTCTGCCTAAACTACTTAATTTTTTGGAGACTTTTAGCGTAATATCTATATAAAGTTAATCTATCTATAAAGTTAATTTGGAAAAAAGTGAGCTTGTACCCATTAATGCAGCTTCTCAGAAGATTACTTATAGTTCCTTCCCATTTAAGATAAACACAGAAAAATTCAAATACTTAGGGGTTGGGATTACACAAGTTTAAAAACCTTTATGAAGCTAATTTTCCCCCACTTATAGCATGTCTCAGGAAAGATCTTGAACGTTGGAATTTACTTCCTTTATCTTTAGGGAGTAGAGTTAATACCTTTTAAAATGAATGTATTGTCTAGATTTTTATACTCGTTTCAATGTCTCCTCATTTTTCTGACAATCATTTTTTATTTATTTAAACAAATTGATATCTGGTTTTCTCTGGAGTAATAAAAACCCCCGCAAAGATGCACTACAACGACGTCGTCAGCATGGTGGACTATCCTTGCCAAATTTTCAATATTATTATTGGGCCTCTAATATTAGGGCTTTACTCTATTGGATTAATATTCCTAATGATCAGATTATTCCCAAGTGGTTATCAATGGAAAGTGCATCCTGTAGCCATACCTCAGTGCACACGCTACTCTGCTCAAGGATGCCTCTGTCTGAGCCCGTGTCTACTTATTCCTTCAATCCAATGTAAAACATTCCTTTAAGATTTGGTCACAGTTTAGGAGGGCTTTTTCACTTAACGAATTTTCTGTTTACAGCCTAATAACAAAAAATATGTTTATCCCGTCTGTTGCCGATAGTGTCTTCAAATGTTGGGTTGAAAAAGGAATCAGAATAGTTAAAGACCTGTTTGTTGGGGATATTTTATCTTTTGAACAACTTAGAACACATTTTAATATTCCTCAATCACAATTTTTAGATACCTACAGCTTCGTAGTTTTATATCAAGCTGTTCGCAATTTCCATCATTACCGCCTCACTCCTTTTTAGATACTATATTGAAAACCAGCCCACAGTCTAAGAAATACATTGGTGTGGTGTACTCTCTGCTTAATTCATATAATTTGAAGCCTCTAACTTTATTGAAACAACCGTGGGAAGAGGAACTTGTTCTACTGAAAGGATGAGTTCCCACCCACCTTTAAATACTGGATTAGGGATTTAATGCATTACGTGAGTCTAGAAAAAATTCTTTACGCTGTGACTGGTTGTGATCATAAATTCTGTAAGACCTGGCAACCTGTCTTGACACAGGTAGAAAACATGGACTCAATCGATATTTCACATTTTTGAAATTTCCCTCTGAAAAAATGTATTTATTTGTTTGTTTGTTTATTTCATTGACTTTAATGTGTCACTTTTTTCACTGTATTATATAATTCCTTGTTTTTATATGTGTGTTTATATGTATGTTTATGTGTATATATGAGTGTATACTGGTTGAATGACCCTTTGTGGTGCAGCGTTGTTGGGAGGGTTTTTGTTTCTCATGTTTCTTTTTTTTATATGCATTTTTTTATTGTCTAAAAACAATAAAAAGACCTTGGTTCAAATAAATATACTTAATTATCAAAAGTAAAAGTGCTGTGAGGTATTTTAGCTATTATACTTAATGTTTTATTTTATAGTTAATGTTAATATCATTTTCATCTGTTCAATACATCGTGCATCGCAGGGACATGGGAAGTGGGGGTGCTGCTGCACCCCCGATTTTGGGATTGCAACTGCTAATAATAATAATAATTATAATAAGAAAACATTCTGAACTTTACAATAATTTGAGTGTAGTAAAGACCCTTGTGTGCTTGTTTCAGAGTGGAGTTCTTTTTTCAAAATCTGCAGTAGCCCTGCTTTGCTTAACTCCGTATTTCATTACAGTGAGCCGAAAACAGCTGGCCACTTTGCGGGTGCATCCTCAAACACTCGCAGGTTGAGGTTCAAAGAGGGAATGTCTATGCGGAGTTATAGGCTAGTTCTGTTTCAATTACAATAACCTTTTGCTTTTCTAGTGTATTTGTGTTCGTCTGATCTCTTCATGCAAAGAGAAGAAAATCGAGCTCCAACGCAGTCTAATATTGTTTTTTAACTTAAAAAAATAATCCAACGTAATAGTAACATTTTGTCAACCATTATATCTCCTGCTCATTGTGGGTTCCAACATTAAATCTCACTGTGTAACTGAGGGTGTGACACAGTCGGTTACTGTGGCCCATATCAATAATCTGATTGGTCACTGCTTAGCTCATTTGCGATGTTCAAGTTCATCCAAAGATTTTGCAGTGGTTCAATGTGTCAGTTTTATATATATATATATAAAAAGCACCCCTTACTAAAACACCTTCCCGAATCCATGCTGCTTTCCCAGAAACTCAAGTTGGGTGCAATACTCAGAAAAAGAGCAGACTTACAGCACTAGTTTATAGCCATCCATTTGACATTTTTCAGTAGCTGTACAGGTATAGCTAGCTTTCTAGCTTTTATATGGGTACAACATGTCAAACAAATCAGCTGTCCTCTTACCCCCTTGGTTGCTGTTGCTATGTCTGACAAGTTATTAAGCGTGCCATGACAAATGTGGCATTAAAAACTTTATAGCCTCATCATATAGAAGTTAGAGCACGTGTTGCTGTTCCATGTAATTTTTTTTAATAGTAACATGATGTTTTGTACTGTCTAATCATCATGTACCTCTCATTTTTTGTCTTTGTTTTAGAAAAGGGGTTAAAAGGGACTTTGGTATTATGAACCCAAAACAAAAAACTTGATTTTACCTGTCAACTAGAAGTGTTTAGTAATTTATAACTTTGATTTTTCTGTGTACTTCAAGATTACATTTAGTACAGTCTTTCCTTGTCTTTTCATTACTAAATTTCAGTTACAATAACCTTCTACCTATTCAGTGTATCTGTGTTTGTCTGATCTCTTCATACAGGGAGAAGAAAATTGAGGGCCTGGGTTTTCTACGTGGTTTAGCACAGTATCATTCTGATGTGCTTATTAGCAGGCTCCATGATGTCTGCTTGATTCTCATTCAAGAGGTGAATCACTACCTTCTTGTGACTTCCCTGTAACTAAACCTCTTAAACCCAAAAGGCCCGTATGTGGGCACACACATCAGTTTCTCACTTCAATGACTACATAACTTGCATATCAGTGTCATTTGTTTCACCCCAATGCATTTGTAATTGCTTGTCCATCTCCTTTGAACTGAAAATGCATTTCTTTACTCTATACTTCCCTTTTTCTATATCTCTTATATCTATAGTATTCTCTTTTATCTTGTTTTTTTTTAGGTTGGCATTGGTTTTCCTATTTTATTTAGATTGATTTACTTTGTTTCACAGTGAGGCCATATTCTCTGTTGTTTTCTGTCCAAAGCCCAGACTCCATTGAGAGATTTTTGTATTGTGGGATCAATATAATGAAACGTCTGCCTTGGAAGGGGCTGCTAGCTTATTAAAACTCAATCAATCTTTGTTTGACCAGAAACCTGGAAAAATATTGGCCTGGCGTATTAAGAAACTCCAATCTCAAAGATCTTTCACTGCCCTTAAAAATGATAATGGGGACCAGTTAAAATAAATGTGTGAAAAGTTCCATGAAAAACTGTACAATACTGAAAGAAATCAAGAAATAGATATAATAAACTGTTATGTTATATAGGATATAAAACATTTTTAGATGGTTTTAATATCCCCCAAATCTTTGAGGAAGATAAACAGCCTTTAGAGGCTGAGATAACTATGCAGATTATGGATGTACTGGAGAAAATGAAATATGGAAAAGCAGCAGGGCCCGATGGGTTGCCTGTAGATTTTTATAAGAAGTTCAAATTAAAGCTGAGACCAGCTATTAAGGATTTCTTTTTAGAATCTTTAAAAAATGGAATTCTTCCAACTACCTGCAGGGGAGCACTTATCACACTTTTGCCAAACCCTGGGAAACCCATTGATACACTATATTGCCAAAAGTATTCGCTCATCTGCCTACACATATAAACTTGAGTGACATCCCATTCTTAATCTATAGGGTTTAATATGATGTTGGCCCACCCTTTGCAGCTATAACAGCTTCAACTCGTCTGGGAAGGCTTTCCACAAGGTTTAGGAGTGTGTTTATGGGAATTTTTGACCATTCTTCCAGAAGCACATTTGTGAGGTCAGACACCGATGTTGGACGAGAAGGCCTGGCTCGCAGTCTCCGCTCTAATTCATCCCAAAGGTGTTCTATCGGGTTGAGGTAAGGACTCTGTGCAGTCAAGTTCTTCCACACGAAACTCGCTCATCCACGTCTTTATGGACCTTGCTTTGTGCACTTGTGCGCAGTCATGTTGGAACAGGAAGGGGCCATCCCCAAACTGTTCCCACAAAGTTGGGAGCATGAAATTGTCCAAAATCTCTTGGTATGCTGAAGCATTAAGAGTTCCTCTCACTGGTACTAAGGGGCCAAGCCCAACTCCACTCCATAATCCCCCCTCCACCAAACTTTAGACTTGGCACATTGCAGTCGGACAAGTACCGTTCTCCTGGCAACCGCCAAACCCAGACTCGTCCATCGGGTTGCCAGACAGAGAAGATGATTCGTCACTCCAGAGAACACGTCTCCACTGCTCTGGAGACCAGTGGCGGCGTGCTTTACACCTCTGCATTCGACGCTTTGCATTGCGCTTGGTCATATAAGGCTTGGATGCAGCTGCTCAGCCATAGAAATCCATTCCATGAAGCTCTCTGTACACTGTTATTGAGCTAATCTGAAGGACGCATGAAGTTTGGAGGTCTGTGGCAATTGACTCTGCAGAAAGTTGGCGACCTCTGCGCACTATGCGCCTCAGCATCCGCTGACCCCGCTGTCATTTTATGTGGCCTACCACTTATAATACCACTGACAGTTGACTGTGGAATATTTAGTAGTGAGGAAGTTTCATGACTGGACTTGTTGCACAGGTGGCATCCTATCATGGTACCACGCTGGAATTCATTGAGCTCCTGAGAGCGACCCATTCTTTCACAAATGTTTGTAGAAGCAGTCTGCATGCCTAGGTGCTTGGTTTTATACACCTGTGGCCATGGAAGTGATTAGAACACCTGAATTCAATGATTTGGATGGGTGAGTGAATACTTTTGGCAATATAGTGTAGATATGAGACCCATTGACCTTCTAAACTCAGATTTAAAAACACCTAGTAAAATTTTAGCGAATAGATTAGAAAATGTGTTACCTACTATAATGAAAAAATTACCAGAATGATTTTATTGCTGGTCATCAAGGGTCTCACAATGTAAGAGGAATTTTTAATATCAATATCAGAGTTATTAGATACTGCCCTTTATCTCTAGATGCTGAAAAAGCCTTCGATAGAGCAGAATGGGTATATCTTTTTGAAGTTCTGAAGAAATTTGGATTTGGGAAAATATTTTGTAAAAGGATAACACTTTTGTATAACGAACCATAAACAAAAATAATAATAGGATTAGTAATAAAACTAATAGGATTTCTAAACCTTTTCAAATTAGTAGAGGTTGTGGACAAGGCTGCTCAATATCACCCCATCTTTTCATAATTGCTGTAGAACCTTTGGCAATAGCAGTGAGAACACAGGACTTCAAGGTATACACATCGGAGGACCAGAGCATCGGGTGGCTCTTTATGCTGATGATATGATCATTTTTCTAAAAAATGTAAGCAATTCTATACCAATATATCTGGAAACCAACAATTGTATCGAACTCTCGGGGTGCAGAGTAAATAATTCGAAATCCTCTATTCTGTTACTTAAGTCAGAAGAAAGGAAGAGCCCACCACAGCAGGATTGCAAATTTAACACAGTAAATTATTTTATTTGTTTAAGAGTAAAAATACTACCAAATTTACAGTAAGTTGCTTACTCTAACATGGAAGATGAACATATTGAAAAATCCCTTAATAGAATGACAACACTCAATCTCCCTGATTAGAAGAATTAATATAAACAAAATGAGTATTTTCCCCAAACTGCTATCTTTTTCAGAATAGGCTGCCTCCTCCTGGTTTCTTTTTAGGATTACAGAAATTGGTTAGCAATTTTATTTGGAACAATAGGCATCCCAGACTGCGTCTATCTCTTTGATAGAGGGGGATTGAAACTTCTCAATTTAAGATTGTATTACTAGGCAGTGTGATTTTCCCTGATGGTAACCCCCTCCCTTCCTTTTTGTGTTCAGCCAACCCCTCAAAACTTAAAGAAATCAATCTCTAATCTTATAGTGAGAAATATCACAGTGATATGGCTGAAGTGAAGAAATGTGAAGAAATCATTTCAGTTCTCTCATTACAGCCTAATTTGGAGAAATAAGTTATTCATACCAGGAGTATCTGATACAGGCTTTAAGCTTTGGACTCAAAAAGGGATAATGCAAATTAAAGATGTCTTTACATCTGATGACGATATTCTTTTGAGGAAAAAATTTGATATCTCTCCCCAAAACATTTTTTTTTTTAATTTCGACAACTTAAAAGTTTTATTGCAGCTTATCAATGTCAGCTCTGGAGTATTCCTTCTTTATTTGTTTTGGAAAGTATACTAGTACAAAATCCCTTTTGGAAAACAGTTAATATCTACAATATTAATAATTAATATCTTTTAAAATCCACAGACTCACCAGATAGTAAACTTACGGCGTGGAAAGAAAATATTATTCCTGGTGCTTGGACCCCGCAGATTGCCGCTTGCGGCTATATTTTATATATTGTTATAGTAATTACTATAATTACTATAGAAGCAAGCACGACAAACTGCACATGATTAAAAAATAAAAAAGTAGTCATTCATTTTGAAAGCCTAATAAATAGGAAGTGAAAGCTCAAACATAGGCTAGGATTACTAGGCTATAAAATGATTGCTGTCAGGTCAAATGTCAAAAAACAGCAGAGAATGATAAAATTAGTTGGAATGATTTTAAAGGTATTTAATTATTTACTTTAATCATATTTTACTGTAACGGACATCGTCATCATAATAACGTCATCTCGCACTACAGCTAATTATTATCAACTATAGTAGTCACACAATGATTACACAATAGTTCATAGTAATTACTATAACAATACATAAAATATAGCCGCAAGCGGCAATCTGCGGGGTCCAAGCACCAGGAAGACATTGAGGATTAAAGTAGTGGCCTCTAGTCATAGAATGCAGCAGATGTTTAGATTTTTAAGAAGGATCTCATTTTCTTATGATTAAGGTGATTATATCTGCTATAATCTACGCAAATCAGTTTAACATCCATGACAGGGATTCGAACCCATGACCGTAGAGTTCAAAGGCAGAGGCTTTCATGATGAGCCACAAGACATTTGTGGCACAGCTGCAATTTTTGAAACAATGTATTGAAAGGAAGCATCAAGGAACCATGCACCATTTTAGGAAAAGTAGCAGCATAAACAAATTTCATGTCTCTGGTCATAGATGGCAAATCGTTGGATTTTTAACAAAGACCCTTCCTTAAGATTAAGATAATTAGGTGTGTGTTCAGAACAGTTGCTACAGCACCATCCAACATCTGTGACAGGGAATCAAACCCATGACCTTAATCTTCAAAGGCTGTTTTTTGAGACAGTTTATTGGTATGGAGCAATAAGGAACCAAGCACCATTTTGGGAATTAGTTCCCACCTTGCAATTACTGTGACTATTGAGTAGTATAATTCCAAATGAAATCATGATACACGGTCAGTTTGTCATTTTGTATATTTGTGTCAAATTTGGTTATAATCAGTTATTGATGCATTTTTAGCCTTTTATAGCAGAATAAGCCAATTCACATAAATTTATTCAAATCTTTAGCCACACTGTGCTTAAAAGTCATGATATTTTCAATAACATTCAGAAATGCTGTTTGCTTAAAGACATACAGTAAAGCTTTCCATGTATATGTCAACAATGACACATGCAGTTACTGATTTGGCTCCCTCTGGTGGCCAGAGAAAAATACAACACTTGTTGCTCTGACCAAAATTTGCTGAAATCAAATTATAGGATTTCCTGTACAGTACAACCT